CAGCGCCACATTGTCCACCATAAATTCCACTCAACCACACCAGGGATCAAACTCGGGCTGCCGCGGTGGGAAGCCAGCAACTAACCGCTTGAGCTATGGTGTGGCCTGTTTTTTATGTTACAAATTAACTTAGTGTTCTTGACAGCTAAAGTTTATTGAATTATAGTTGGCAACTATTGTATATTATATCTACATAGGGCCGTGCCATAGCTCAAGCAGTTAGTCGCTGGCTTCCCACCACGGCGGCCAGGGTTCGATCTCGGGTCTGATCAAGTGGGATTTATGGTGGACAAAGTGGCACAGGGACAGGTTTTCTCCGAGTACTTCGGTTTTCCCTGCCAATCTTCATTCCACCAATTGCTGCACAATCACCCTCATCTATCATCTTGGACTGGTACAATAGGCCAGAAGTGGCCACGGTGCCAAGCGGACTCAGTCCCACCCCACCAAATAATAATAATAATTATTATTATATGTACATGCATATATTGCTTCACCTCAGCACTGCATACTAATGACCATCCCAATCATAGACAAAGTGAAAGAGAAAAGAACTGTTCCATGGGTCTTGGCTTATTGAATTTTTTGAGTGTGTGTTACACCTTTGCCATTTGTATGTGGTTGTCGTACCATGCATTGTGCCTCTTGAAGAAGAATATATACTAATTATAACATAAGAAGTATTTCTTGATCATAGAGCTGTTCCCATGTTTCCCAGTGTATTTGAAATATGATGTGACATGAAATGTAAAATTATGTGAACTCGCATAAAATGAGTTGCACCTGATAACTTCCAAAATGTAACACTCAGTCACTAATGTCTGATCATGTCCACTGTTTAACCATGTCAATGTTACTTTATCACTGTGATGACTGTTTCAGTGCTGAATTTAATTTTATTAGTTGTTTCATGTTGACTACCTCAGCAGTCAGTCAACTTGAAGTCAAATTCACTATCCCTGTACCTAAAGTTGACACCAATTCTTTTTCCTCAAGGGATTCATAATTATCTTCATGTAGAAGACAGCACGGTGAAAACAGATGGCAGATATGACTATTCATTTCTGTATTAGATTACGAACGTAATATGAACTAACATCAAAATATTCCCAGTCAATGTGATAAAACTGAGATGTTTGAATTGAGTCTGCATGCCCTCAGAAAGAGACCTATTTGACTAAAATAAAGTATACCTGATCACAGCTGAAAAGTGATTAAAACCAAGCAGCAGAATATAATCTCTGATTTACTATTAATTCAGTGGTATGGTATTTTTCATTTGGAGTTATAGGAGTATTTCTTGGATATGTAGAGATAGTGAAATCCATTTTTAGAACCTAGGTATTACCTGACTTTTCCAATTTCATAACATATTTTTGAAGATAATTTACCCAGATTTTGATGTAGGAAGCAGCAAATTTAATGTTATTTGGTCTGTATTTATGTATTCACATTCCATCATTTTATGACAGATTTAACTCCAGGAAAAGAAAGTACTTAATCATCTAAGATATACTTCAATAGAGAGAGAATGTATATATGTGGACAAAGTACTCACCATGTTTATAACTCTTTCATTCTTACAGTGGAATCTGAACAATTTTTTGCACAAGACAAGTGACATAACTGATTTGATTATGTATCATCAGGTATAACCTTCTGTAGGTTTTTCAGTGTTCTTCATTGTAAAGTTCACTCTGCTGCGTGGTATGTCTGATTAGCATTTGAAAGGTTTCTTAATACTCAGTTCATCAAAAGATGTAGTTTCCTATTCTTTGCCTATCACAGTTAAGATTTCAGGAGACTGAAGTTCAATTTTTACTGCTTGTATCCATTTATCCATGAACTGCAATAGCAGTGAGGAAGACAAATGCTTAACACCTCTAATATATCAGATCTGACTGTTTACCTGAATATTTCTACCCATTTTGTTCAGAAAATACTAAGAAAGTAAGATATGTTGATAATTTTCCTGATCATTTCTAGATTTGAGCCACAAATTACTTCAGTGTATATATATAATTGTTTATGAATTATGTGATTTGTTTATTTATGATCTATCTCATGATGCTTTCAGTAGCTCAGACTATATGAACATGGTACTGAATATTAGTATGATTAGTGAATAATGAATTGGAGAGAATGTGGAGGGAAGTGTTCGCAGTGTACCCAGTTTGAAGTACATTCCTTGAATTTACCTGGAGGTACTGAGAAAAGTCAACAAAATTCAGTCAGGATTACTTGTACTCTAACTGGTATTTGAATCTGGTCCCGAATATAAAGCAGGAATACCACTAACTTGACTTCCAGCCGCACTAGGCCCTGGGGTTTACTCAGCCTCTAACAGAAATGAGCACCAGGAATTAATTAAATAATTTTGCTGGGGAGTAAATCGTGGCTGGCGCGTAAGGCTGACAACCTTACTGCCATCTTTGAGCCTATTGTCTAGATAATGTGGGACCCTCAACGTCTCACAACCCTATGGGCCTTCACGGCCTGGTACAGGGATAGCTTTACTTTTTTTTTACCACTAACTTGACTGCAGTGTGATGGATGATGATCAAGGATATTAATAATAATAAAAAAAATTGGTTTCAGTAGATAGAAGTCTGATATAATCAGACTAACTATAAGTCAGTTAATTATTGACTATTTAAATTGAATATGAAGGGACATTTTTGTAACATGTTTCTCCTTTAAAGTAATAATAAAAAGTGGTTTGCATTTCTTTGTAGTATACTTCTGGATGCTGATGGCCACATATCACTAACAGACTTTGGACTAAGCAAACTACCCCTGGATGACCAGAAAGCCTATTCATTTTGTGGTACAGTGGAGTATATGGCTCCTGAAGTTGTCAACAGGAAGGGACATTCCTTTGCTGCAGACTGGTGGTCTCTGGGTGTACTCATGGTGTGTTCCATTTGTGCAGTATATCTGTCTATCTGTATAAGCATTCTGAAAGAGAAGGGGACAAGTAACTCTTGTAAAATGAAGATGTTTTTGTGCAGTTTATATTTCCACATCGCTACTGCATTGAAATAGTTGAAAAGAAATTAGTGGTACCAGTGACAGTAAACTATGTTTGTATCAAATTTCAGATATCCTTAAAAGGGGAATAGATACCAGTTAAAAAGAAAGTACCTTCTTAAGAATGATATAAATATAATTAATGGAAACTTTAGAAATGTTAAAGTAATTAAAATTGATGGTACCAGCATAGTAAGTTTGTATCTGTTCCATACAGGACATGCATGTACATATGTAAATAGAAGAATTAAATTATTGTTTCTCATTATTGCAGTTAATCAGATGGTCTCTTGCTGAATGTTTATGAAACCATGCTGATGTCCTAAACAGCAACACCAACAGCAGCAATGACCATATCATTTGTCACACATCATAAACAAATTCCATATGAATGATGCTTTACATAAAGGCATTTTTTCTTAGATCAAGAATAATTTATCCATACAATATATAGAAAAGAGGATATTAGAAATATTCACATAAAAAGAGTTATACTAACTAAACCTCTGACATGTTGATTCAAACAACATGTAACACCACTATTTCTCTGTTGCTTCACTTGAGGCTGTTTGTTTTCAAGTGATTTTATTTACTCTCTTTCATGAAATTAAGTACCACAGATGTTGCAAATTTTAAAAGTACTCTGATTATACAATGGTGATGTCAGTAGCCTCTTCTCCCATTACACAGTATCCCTGCTTTGCAAAATACACTACTACTGTATTGCATGACAATTGCTCAAAACATGACGTAAAGTGAAAGCCACACAATATTGCCTTGTCTTCCATCATTTTTACTATAGAGTGGATTATTGCCAGATAAAAGGTTTTTTCCTGAGATATCAGTTTTGGTGAAGACCAAAGGTACCAAAATGACATCCACAGGTTTTAATGTGATGCACACACTGTAATTTTAAAAGAAGACATTTCAGAGAAAGGTGCATATACTCTGTAACTAAATATAATAGATAGATAGATATAGCTAGTATTTTTATCTTTTTATAAGATTTGAGGTATTCACGTCAAGGTGTGTTCATATTATTGTGACACCATGTAGTCACATCATGGATACTAGCATTCTGTAGGAACATGCCGCTTCATAATGGCCACACCATAGCTCAAGCGGTTAGTTGCTGGCTTCCCATTGTGGCAGCCCTGGTTCGATCCCAGGTCTGGTCAAGTGGGGTTTGTGGTGGACAAAGTGGCACTGGGGCGGGTTTTCTCCGAGTACTTCAGTTTCCCTTGCCATCTTCATTCCACCAAATTTTCCATCATCATAATCACCCAGGGCAGGCTACAATAGGCCAATCAGTGGCCACTGTGCCGAGTGGACCCAGTTGGACTCCACCCCCCACTAAGCGAATTAAAAAAAAGTTCTGCCTCCATCTTCATGGTTGAAATAAATATGTTGAGGATACAGTCAAGATGTATGGGCATGGTGTACAGATAGAGCCACTCCTCTCCCCTCCTGTTAGTCTGACTGACCACTTTCCATGCAGCAGGTATGTATACCCTGACTGCAGTCTCAAGGCAACACTATCCCTGTAACAGGCCGTGAAGGCCCATAGGGTTGTGAGAATTTGAGGCTCCCACATTTTCTAGACAGTCAGCTCACAGATGGCGGTGAGGTCAGCCTTACATGCTGGCCATCCTTTACTCCCAGGAAGATTCCTGGTAGAGATTCTGTTAGAGGCTGAGTCAACCCCAGGGCCATAATGCGGCTGGAAGGATTAAGTCAATTGAAACATCAAATTACCTCATCAGGAATCAAACCCTTGGTCTTCCGGCTTGTAGCATAGTGCTTCAACCAATTATGAACTTCATTCTCACCTTCACATTTCAACCCTGAAGATTTAAGCAGCATGTTCTTCTGAAGTCTTGGTTTCCATCAGTAGGACCACACAGTGTTACAGTCAGAATGGCTGTTTCTCCCTTGTCCCACTCATACATCTGAGTGATCACTTCCCATGCAGTTTGCCTATATAGCCTGGCTACATCGTTACTTAATTCCACCACGAACATGGAAGCTGCATGTAGGATTTGAGGTTCTCACAACAGTAGTTACGAATAGTTCTATCTTCTGGGATATAACGCCGTGCAGCCTGCTGAAAGTCAACCGACATTGGAGGAACATGTCACCAGAAAATATACTGGTTTCTTGTTTGGCTTATTCTTCGACCCTGAAGATGGAGGCGAAATGTTCCTCCAAAACGTCATTTGATTTTCAGTGGACTATGCGGTTGCATGTTTCTCAAGAGCGTTGCAACCTAAAAGACCGAAATCCGATTTTCACCTTTTCCTTTAGTAACATTAAGTGACAAAATGATTATGTAAGGAATATGTTTTCTCACTCTTACTTGTCCTAATGTTTTTATATCCTGTGATCAGTATGAGATGCTGACAGGCACTCTACCATTCCAAGGCCCAAACCGGAAAGAGACCATGACACAGATCTTGAAGGCAAAGCTTGGGATGCCTCAGTTCCTATCTCCAGAGGCACAAGCGCTACTTCGGGCACTGTTCAAGAGAAATCCAGCCAACAGGCTTGGTGCAGGTAAATTATATTGTGTCTTATGAGAATAGTGGGCCTTGGGATTTAATCAGGAACATCCAAATTGTATAAGACAAACATGTCAGTAACACACGATTAATGTAAGTCAAGAAGCCACAGAGAATGTTGTACCATGAATATACACCGAAACTTTGATTTTATAATCCCAACCTTTGTGTTTTTAACAAATTTACAGACTTTTTGCATGGTCCCAGCCAAATGCACATAACAATAGTATTCAGCAGGTTTTATGTTCTATCATTTTCAGATTTTTTCCAAATTTACACTTCATTTTTCTAGTCCTGATTATGAAAATTTACCCACACAATTTACCTCACACAATCAGATAAGAGACTGGGTGCTAAAAATCGCAAAATATTTCTTTTCATTTATCATTGTGCTGCCCATTCAGAGAACACCACATTTCTCAGCAATACCAAAGTTGTATTTCTCCCAGCTAAATACTTGTATACCAGCCAGCTACAGTCTTTATATTTGGGATCATCTGCATATTCAAGTAACATTACAGAAAGCAGTTGATTCAGAAGACTGTAGCCATGTTAGATGGAGGACTGCTCCAGGATGCTGCACAGATGAAGCTGGATTTGTCAGCAGTGCACTTCATAGCAGAAGCCTGGAGATTGATAAGATCCATCACAATTAAGAATTTCTATGTGAAGTGTGGTTTTAGTTTGAACTTTTTCTCATACATTATTTACCAAAACTTGATACTTATGTGACTTGCCTTAATGTAGAATATTTTATCACTTTTCCCTAGTGCAGAGTTCCTTCAAATAGCAAGGGATTTGTTTCTGTTTTAGGTCCTGATGGTGTGGAAGAGATTAAGTCACATTCCTTCTTTGCAACTATAGACTGGGACAAGCTCATGAGGAAGGAGATTCATCCACCATTCAAGCCTGCTGTGAGTCGTGCTGACGATGCCTTTTATTTTGACAAGGAGTTCACGTCTAAAACGCCAAAAGGTGAGCAGAATGCGGGCAACAAGTAATTTCTTATTGCACAGTGATACTTATGTAAACCATCTACTTTAATATCTGTTAACTGGCACTTTTCTCACAGAACATAGTTATGCGTTTCATTTTGAGATGTGAATAATTAGTAATTGATGTTAGTTCTGTTTTGGAACAATGGCATCATGTCCATGTTCTTTATTTTATATGTATGAATTAATTTTTAATATGGAAGTAATAAATGTAAAGTAATTGCTTTTCCATGGTGGAGACATGTACCTGGTACCTCTGTAAACATAAGCCTATAAACGGGTAAAAGTGCCTACCCATAAATACTGGCAATGTGAAATATACATATATTAATTTGTTTAATGAGGTATTGTTATACTAAGCATAGTAAGTTTGTTGACCAAACTGTAACCATTTGTCTGTTTTACAGATTCTCCTGGTGTTCCACCTAGTGCCAATGCCCATGAATTGTTTAGAGGATTCAGTTTTATTGCACCTTGCCTTCTAGAAGAACAGACAAATAACCAACCTACAGAAAGGCAAACAGATCCTCTAGCAAAAGTGAGCTTTTTCCTGTGTCTGTATGCTTGTGCTTTTATATAGATCCTTGCATAAGTTACGACTATTCACAAGGATTAAATTTTGTGTAAGCTAATTGCTTTAAATTTCTATGGTTTTGCTTTTTGAAGCATTTGACTCTTGAAAATTTCTGTAATACTTTAACTCCTGTGTGCTTAAAGTATGTGTGTGTATTTGGTCAACCAGTACAGTCTGGGATTTATTAATTAATAGCTAGGGGTTTTGTAGCTGGTAGATATATGCTATTTTGTTTAATGGTTACAGATGATGTATGTGAAACCAAATTCAGTAACAGATGAATATGAAATAAAGAACACAATTGGTGAGGGGAGTTACTCTGTGTGCAAATTGTGCATTCATAGAGCAACGCGTGCAGAGTATGCAGTGAAAGTGAGTAGCTTGTGTCATATGTCTTCATATTTACACAGATATGAAAGTAGTTATAAAAAATATTTCTTTCAACAGTACAGCCTTCTCTTAGTTGTTTTGAGAAATTTGGCACAGATAACTAAAATGGGCTAATCCAAAAAAAAATTTTTTTTATTTTGCTTGTTTTGGTTATTGTTGCATAATATTATTTGCTTGGAGTTATATCAGTGTTTCCTTTCCCCCTGCTTTTGAATTTATGTAACACTGAGATGAGACATGACATCAAATTGAACAAAATAAGAGACGTAGTAAGATCCACAGTTATTATTACCCGCTCTTCCAGCCTTGAGGATGGATGAAACTGAGTAAAGTCTTGTTTCACCTCCTTTCCTCTAGATTGTCTTCTTATCCAACTAGACATCCCTTTCCATTGGATAGCACCATGCTTTGCATCCCGCCCTTACTCCTGCTGCAAGATCTGCATATTGGGTCATATCTTTCTTCTGTCTCATTTACCCTGAAGATTATTCCTGCAGCATATGCTAAAATGAAAGAGCTTCAACACTTCAACACACAATGCTGTGCGCCGAAGTTACACATTACCTAACACAAACTTGTTGGAACAAAGTGTATGTTCTTATTTTTCTAGTATATCTTTAGTTCACTGAAGGGTAGTTGCCTCTAAATTCTTTCTGTGATTAATGCTCTCAATTATCTGGCCTTATGCTTACTGGATAACTTAACTGTCAGGCATTATCTCATAGACCACGCATTGTACAGTCAGTTTCAAACTGCTGTCAGTATTCTCACAACTCTGTGCTTCAACATGGCAAGTAACTCAGCTGGAGACAGTTCTAACAAACCCCAAACATTAATATTTGTCATTGCTTGGAAATATCTTTCTGTACAATTTGCATGTGATGGTTGACTGCACCATGTCCCTTGGCAGTGTTATTTTCATATTGTATCTGATAATGTAAGCTTTTTGCAGAATATTTTAAGGCTATTATCATTAGCCAAATTCTTCTGAAGAATCCCTGCTCAATAGTACTCCTTCATTACATTCCTCTTTCTTATTCTGCAGAGTTGCTGTAAACATTTAATACCTCTGAAGGACTGAATATACCTCAGATGTTTCAAGAAAATACTGCCTACACAAATTGTTATTAAGTCTGTGAACTGAGAGTCTGTGTGCACTGTTCTTCAAACCATCTGTTAAGAACTGGTTGCAAAGGAACTTAAAGGGTAGGAACAATAGACTGAATCACACATTCATCATGATTCGGAAAGAGACAGATGGGATGAGATAGTAAGGATAGCATCCACAGTAAGCACAATCGAAACACAGTAACTGTCCTAATTTTTCATTGATAATTTAGACAGTTGGCACCTGTGGGTAATCAAGATCCTACTGTTTTCAGGTTAGCTGAATAATTAAACTGTAAGGTAAAGGTAAAGTTGTCCCTGTGCTTAACTAATTAAGCGCTATGCCATGAAGGCATATGGGGGAGTGGATGTATAGATCCATATTTTTCTTCACCTCAGCACGAGTTGGAGGTGAGTTGTCAGCTTCACGCCCCGGCCTCTTTACCCCTGGCGAAAGAGCTCCAAGTACCCATTGGATAGGAGGCTGGGTGGACCCCATAGCTGGCCTGGATGACATGGAGAACAGAAAATTCTTGACCCTACTGGGACTCGAACTCTGACTCCTTGGTCATTCAGCCCGTTGTCAGTCACTATACCAGCTTACAGAGTGCAAAATATGAAACTCATGGGAATCTTAATTGTCAGTAATTAGGGTATAGTAAAAAGGTTTGGCATTACTGTAACTCTTATTGTGTCTGCTTTGTAGTTGTAACTATATGAACTTCAGTTTAGGACATAGAATCATAGCTTGTGTTGTACAGCAGTGGTACGTACATAAATCAGGGATGAGCAGAAAGTCAGAGTGAAATCTAATGTTACTTACTGGAGAATCATGGTTCACCTTATTCTCAGAATGTTTTCCTATAGATAGTTTGTGTATCAAATCATCCATCTCATGTCACAGCCATTTTGTTTCCTGAAGTATGAAATATGAGTGGAGTAAACCAGTACAGAATACAGTGTAACATAGTAATATTAAATGTCCTTACCAGACTTCATGTACTCAAGTGTCATGTATAAAGGATATTTGAGTTAACTGATCTGATAATAACACTGGGGTACGGTAAAGCAAAGCGCTAACTGAAACATATGTTGAACCACAGAAGAAAGGGCAAAAGTACAGTACAGTTATTGATGTTGAGGCAATTTATTAAATTGCATACCTTTCTGTTTCAGATAATTGACAAATCAAAACGAGACTGCCAGGAAGAAATAGAAATCCTACTGCGCTGGGGATATCATCCCAATATTGTCACGTTACGAGATGTAAGTTTGGAAGAGGTTTGAGTGTGGCGATAAAGCCAAGTAGGAAAGGGTGGTTTTCTTCAGTCTCTGCATGCAAATGCTGTGATAGTACCTTGATTAGATATAACCGGTTCCTTCCAAATAATTTGAAAACCATCAGTCATTCTATCTTCCAGCACTGTGTAGTCTAGATACTGCCAGCTTCATTAAATAACCCCCCCCCCCACAACACCATNAATTCAGAAAATACTGTCAAGATGAACTTGTGAACAGGCATGATAGCAGTGTAATGTAGCATTGTGAATTTTTATGTAGGATGCGAAAGAGCAGAACGTATATTAACTTGTTATATTTGGTAGCTAAGCAATTATCATTTCTCAAAAACTACCCTGCTCCATGGTCCTTGCCCTGTACTACTGCTTATGTTACAGGTGTATGAGGATGACAGATCTGTATATCTGGTGATGGAGCTGATGAGAGGTGGCGAATTGCTCGATAGAATACTTAGACATAAGTTCTTCTCAGAAAGGGAAGCCAGTGCAGTCATGCAAGTTATTGTTTCTACTGCCCAGTATCTACATCAGCATGGGGTAAGCTCTATAATCCTTTTCTACTGAAAGAATGTGCCTTTCACTAACCATATTGTCGCTTACTGTTAAGAAATGCATTCTCTCTGTCAGTTTTGATGCATCATAACAGAAATGAAGACTGCAGAATTGAAAGAACTTCCCCTTCATAAACTGTACAGAAATCTTATATCTGCACTCCTTCATACCTTTGATAATTTCTAGCAGTTATGTGAATCTTATTTATTCTTATTTCTTTCTCACCTTAGGTTGTCCATCGGGATCTGAAACCATCAAACATTTTGTATGCCACAGAAGCAGGAAATCCAGAGGCACTGCGTATTTGTGACTTCGGGTTTGCCAAGCAGCTGAGGGCAGAGAATGGCCTCCTTATGACACCATGTTATACAGCCAATTTTGTAGCACCAGAAGTGCTAAAGCGGCAAGGCTATGACGCAGCCTGCGATATCTGGTCTCTTGGTGTTCTCCTCTACACTATGCTGGCAGGGTAAGTAAAGTACGCATATCATGTTTTAATATCCATTAAATAAAGTACCCATACAGAGCATCACTTGCTTTTCTGCAGCACCAAGATCAAAAGCAATAACTGTAAAGCTCCACTGATGCAGTTTTCATGAAACCAAAACATCTTGTTGATTTATTCTTGTTAGGAAATATTGACATGTAGAACTGATTCTGGCTTGTTCATTGTCTCCATATTTTAAATTTGTGAGCACTAACTTCTGATGCTCTATCTGCGGCAAAGGAACAGGCACAAGGAGGGATGATCATAATGTCTTATCCTGTGAATCTGTATTTGGGTTGTTACGTATGTCACCGCTTCTGTTGCACCAAGTTGTGTGAAGTTCAAGATGATTCAGCAGATATATTCGAGAACATCCGATATAAAATTGGTCAGAATTGTCCAGGGGGTTCATGAGTTTTTGACATGACATGTAAAAATCCCATTTGTTTAATTATTTCAGCAAATATAAAACTTATGTTAAAACTATGTTGGACATAAAATGTGTTGCCTTTTTCTCTACAAGTTTTGCTTGAGACTTCTTTTTTTGCTGTGATAATTATTAAGTGAATTATGCTTGAAGTGAACTCATAAATGCCTCTTGGCTATCATGTAAACTGTCCACTATTGCTGCTCAGTTTTAACCAACTGTGGAATGTCTCAACTGACTTTAATAGAACTCTGTAACATCAAATTTCATGAAAATGTGATAGCGTTCCTCATGTTATATGCGGACACATGGATGGATTGATTAATACATGAATATATTTTTTTTTTTTTTTTAATTTTTGTTGCAAACACATGGTGAAGAAGATGCACACATATAGGAATTGAAATTAGGATCACAAATGTAAATATAAAAATAAATAAATGTAGGAAATGCTAATGTTTCCCCAGAAAAGTAATTGATTAGTGCGGCTCATTAATGTCCCATGATTCCTACTGTTAGAATCAGTGGTGCATCTGTTCTCTCTTCTGAAGGCATAATTCTCTTATATTGTGCTCCTCATGGATTATGGCTGACAAGGACAATTGCAATGTAACAAGAAGATATCATGTGGCTCCAGCTAATAAATCTGAACCACTTGCCTTTTAGCTCTCTGGTTGAAACGAATTCTCATGTGATGTACGTATTTTTCTAGTTGCAGTTTTAGTGCATTATTGGAATAGAATTGTTTTAGTGTTGCCTTATGATGGCAGACCAGTGACCAAAGATGAAGTGTTATATGAACAGGCCAGGGACATAGTTCCTAGAGTTTACATTTATTTCAAGCCAGGAGCAGACAAACACTGGGTGACCACCATGCAACTTTGCCAGAAAACAATAGTGCACTGCTGAAGAATGTAGTATCGTAGGAATTGTAACCGTGGGGACAATTATAAATTAGGCCAAGTCATTACTGAAAAGAAAAGGAAAAATATTCAGTTTTGATTTCCAGGGAGAAATCGGAAAGAGGAGAAGCGCAATTTGATAATTTTGATAAAGATGTTCTGTAGAGTAAGGTGTTGGAAGTGTATGATAAAGACAAATTCTGAATAGCCAGAAAGTTGATTGATGAAATGATAGAAGCTGTAGGATCTGAAGGAAATAATGAATTTATGTTTTGGATTTTAAAGAAACTGGGGTTTGTCAATGCGTGAAGTGTAGTGATGGCAGCATATTTAATTGAGCATAGTGATATTGTTGCTCGGAGGATCATGTTCCTGAGAACAGTGCGTGAAATGTGAAGACAGGGAAACACAAATTTATTGTTTAGATGAGACATGGATTGATAGAACCGCTCATGGACATTTTGCTGGTAGGAGAGTAACAGGATTGGGAGGTTAAGGGTTGCTGTGTTAAGGGAGGCAGGCTTGTAATATGTCATGCTGGATGTGCTGCTGGGATTGTATCATACATTGAAGGTTAGCAGTTTTATTGTGTACTCACTATTAAGTGCATCCACTGGCAACTGTATCCAGTAACCCTTTATTTACCCTGGCTCACTTAAGTTATAGCACTTTCGTGATATTTTCAAATTCAGGTTAATGAAAATCCAGTTTAATCACTGCATAGAGTAGATAATGAAAAGTTCAGTCCAGTGTGACATACGAGTTTATAACACTTCAGTCCTAATTCGCCTTACATGTTTCGATTCAAAAGAATCATCTTCAGAGGCGCACCACTACGATAAGGAAACACTGTCACATAAGATATTCTAACAATATGCACTTTAGATATGACTAATGCTCTCTATATAAATTTTGTTATCACGGTTGGTTTTGATGTTTGTCTTAGGCACTCACAATGGCGCTTCTTGAAGTGTAGATTTACTGGTTAATCTGACTGGGGTTTTCCACTGCACGCAATATTGTGTTCACTTTTCCATACAGTAGACTCCCAATATATTTAAAATTGTATTAAAATTTCCATGTAAAAAATTAATTATTATATTAAAATATCTTGAGCCGACATTGGGTCATGTTGTTTTCCTCCTGATGATGGGAGACGTCGTTTATTTCTCTTGGTTTTATGTTCTTATTATTAGAGTGTAGTTCACATGCGAGCTGTGTCGTTTGTTTCATTATCTACTCTGTAATTAATAGTGTAACGGACCAAAATGAGACAAGTTAAATTAATCACTACATGTTTCACTGCGACAACTTCAGCTTCAACCTTAGTATGCTTTCAGTAATCAACTATTTAAGTAAATAAATCTTCAAGGAGAGACTTCGAATTAATATTGAATAAGGTTGAATTTAGAAGTGAGTGGCTAGTAGTTTATTTTATTATGCTTCCAGTATTGCAGACTGTATAGTGTTGAATGGTATGATGGCAGATGAATGATGAATTTGACAGATTTCTAAGGAAGTGGGCATGACCTAACTGAAGTACCACCATGACATTTTCCTGGGGCAACTGGAGAAAACCACAGAGAACCTCAGTCAGGATAACCAGTGTCCTGGGAGAGATTTGGGCTGAGCAGCTTCCAAATACAAGTCTAGAGTGTTATTGCTAGACCAGCCTGTTCAGTAGAAATGTTTTTCATTTGATGTGATATAAAAGTGGTCTGTATTAATGGAGACATTTTCATTATTCACAATGGGAGGCCTCTAAGGACCTGTACAAGGACTGTTGCAATGCACTGATCAATTTCTGTCTGTCTTCCTTTATCTATGGCTAATTGCAAACGAAAAAGAAAATCCTTTTGATTCCTCAAGTAGTTTATATACCAGAAAGAATGAAACACTGACATTTAGAAGAATGTCTAGGGAATTGTCACATATACAACATCCATTTCAATCTTTGAAATATAATTACCAAGGGTTTTGGCTCATATTTAAATTTAATATTGATGGCTGTGCTTATCTGCAGCTTAAAAATATTTTAACCACTTTGTGCCCATAGTATCTAGAGATAGATCCATGAGAAAAATAAGTTACATTATTTTCATAGAACTCAGTGATTTCAAGAAAATTTCTAGTTAATTGTACACCATCAAGATCAGCCTGCATTGTAGCTGTAGTTTGAAGAGTGTTGTCTTCTCGAATTTGGCGCTATATAGTCTTGTAGAAATTACCAGTGTTTTGGATGAACATACCGTTTCCATGTTTAGGGTTAAAGAGTAAACGGTGCCAGCAAGCAGCTTCTTTGTCCTGCTTCTTTGCATGACTCACCACCGAAATACTAGTAAACTTCTACCAGACTACATGGCGTCACTTTCCAGAAGATATTACTGTTCACAGTCACCTCTTTGAGGACCTCAGATCTTGCACTCTGCACTTCGCATTACAAAGCATTGCATATACCTAGACAGCAGACAAATGTCACGTGTAAATGAAACGCGTTTTTTAAAGGCTACCCTTAAAGGTGTATTTTATGTAGTTCTTTGTGCTGCTCACTTCCTGCTGGTGTTTGCATATCTTTTTTGTTTTTGTAGCCATTCTATGTGCGGATTCACTTCTCAGTGGTAAGCCCAGTTTCATTTAATGGGCACTCAAAAATAAATTTTTCCATTTGTCTGAAGACAGAAACAAAGGTAGCTTATACATCATTGTACGTCATTTCTGTTCAGTATACAATGTGTAAAGTGAATACTAACAGAAAATTCTTTCCTGTGTCTGTTGTTAACACATTCATTCCTATGTGGATGTAAATGGAAAGTACTCCTGTGCCAAGCCTATTAACTCACTACGTAGGAAACTCGGGTGATATGCATGACAAATAATGGTAGTACATACTTGAAAGTAGTGTATCCCACCTATGACAGTTTTCAGTTATCACTGGAATTGTATTTTCATTTGTTATTCACAGGATTTGTGTGACATTTACATAAGGTTCCAGCACTTGTTTACTGTCGATGTATAGTTGCTTTGTCTTTCAGTTTTTTAATTTCCAAGTGCATGTGCAAACGATCAGTAAAAATGTTGGGCCATAAGAGCAATGGCTCAGACTTGAAGGGCCATTCCACTTTGAGGAAAAGGTCACTTTAAGTGACAAACAAGACAGACAAAGGTTTAACTCTCTGGAAAGGAGTTACCTTCAAACTAAAATTATTTTCGCTTTAACTAACACAGACTGGTCAGTAGAGCTTGCCAACTTTTCATCCCAAAACTCATTATTTATTTGTGCTCTGTATAAAATGTCAGTTTCATGCAGCTAAGTTCAGAGGTCAGTCAATGAAGTTCCTGTTTCATGAACTTAGATCAGGGCTGTCCAGCTTCAAACCACTGACAAACTATATTGTACTTAGGTAACTACCTGCAGGATGCATTATAAGCATGTATATTCATTAAAATAGAACACTGTTTTTAATCTGAGCGGTCAGGCAGTGTGCTCATGCTGAGCGTGTAATGAGACTGTCAGACAGTGTTGACATGTTGGCAGGTTGACAGAATTTAAAAATTGGCCACCAAAGACTTACTAGGGTGTATAAATATTGCTTATGGTCACAGAAACACACTACTTCAGTACTGTCCTAGGTTATTAATTGGATACATGAAAT